TGTCGCAGGCCACGCCCATGTCGCAGGCCACGCCCACCAGCTGCACCGGACGATTCTGTTGCTACACACCCAGATGCTAGATGGGTCACGTCAAGAGTGTCTGGCCCCAAACTCATTCCCACCAGTTGTTGAAGCGAGCAAGCGACAAGACTTCATATAGTTCGTATCAGTCGTTTCCACAATTGCTGTTGCTTACGCGCTTCAACAACTGGTGGAGAACGAGCTAGCGGCGCGCCAAACCCAGCCACACTGACACGCCCCATCACCGGCAGCGAAGAAAGCTGTAGATGTCCTCCGCAATATGTGCATGGAAAATGTCTGGGTGGTTGGAAAGGGGACAGCTGGGTTATGTGCTGTACGCTGTCAAGCCGACGGCCGCTCAGCGACCGGTGCACTCATTTTCATGTGATTGACCGCTTTTGATGTGAACGACGATGTACCAAACTTACTGATTTCGATTGTACTTTCGCCAAGCAACTCGTATTCTCTTCGCCACTGACATAATTTTGTTTCAAGCAGCCATATGGGAGGTGCAGTGGCAACGATGTAGAGCAGTAGACTGGTACAGAACCTGTAACGCATAATTTTACTTGTCTCATGGCGAATGATTAGTGCAGGTGGCGTTGATCGGTTTCAAAATTGTAGGTTGAACCAAGTCCTCTCAGCCTATACAGTTCTCTATATAGTCGTGATGTACAAGCAACAAAGTGGTCAGTTCAAACAGCTACAGGTACACAGTATTGTGGATTGTAGGATGCCTTTGTAACAAGTGGACAGAATATACCCGGGCGTGTGTCAGGGGCTGAGTTTGTCCCGACGCTAGTTCACTTTCCGCCCACTGTTGAACGGGGGACCAATAACAATTGATGGAAGACGGGCTGGCGTGACGCCGAACACAACCTCTGACATGCCCTAGCATTCCTAGTGAACAGAACTGTATCTCTGTGGAAGCTCTAGGAAAGCATTCGCAACCCCACTGAAAAATTTCATGAGTGCTATGACTGACTTCATTTTTAAAATAACGGCGATCGTGGGGGTTGTGGATGTTGCCGAACGTTCTGCAAACAGGGTACAGCATTTTGTGTAGAACACACAAGGGAGTCGTACTTTTTCGCCAGGGAGGGAGGGGTCGTATTTGGTCGCCGTTGGGAGAGGGGGGGGGTCGCATGAGGGTTCGAGAGAATTTAGCCGCGTTGGGAAAAATATTTTCCCGGTGTTGACTTTCTGCGTGGTTTTTCCTGTTTCATGTGTACTATTCAATCCCCCCCCCCGCCCGAGAGAGAATCTTTGGGTGAAAAGCTGGAAAATGTGAGGGATTGGTAGGTAGGTGATAGGGAAGAGAGGGGAGGGGGTCGTACCGATACTACCCAGGGCACATCGTTGGTTGGGGAATCCCCAACAGGGGGGTCGTATTTGGCCGCCAGGAGAGGGGGGGGGTCGTAGTGAGTGCGGCAGCCAGTAACGAGCAGCGCAAATTGTCAATGTGCTGAGTCCTGTACAGCGAAACTTGCTTTGTAGAGAACTCGGATATGCAAAAAAAACAAAACTTTCAAATTCATCAAGACTAATCTGAAAGTAATAGAATAAAAATAAATGGAAATAATAAATGGAAATAGTAAATAAGTCGACATCATCTCGTAAGTGTAAACAGTACAACTCATACTCTGGTTCGCTGCGGATGATGGGGCGTGTCCGCGATCGCGCTTGGCGCTGAGCACTGTTTTTGTCGAAACGACACGAAGACTACCATACAGGGTCGTTCGTGATCAGACTTTTCGACAGCTATTGGTCTCGCTTGCATCGAACTCAGTGCAATTGGCGGAGCCCCGAATCTGGCACGTGCGAAGGGACATGTTCCATCATCACGGCAAGCGCAAGAACAAACTGTAAACAAGTGCACAGACAGGCTCGCACATAGGACATCGCTAGAACCCTATTAGTACCGCAGAACAACATTGCTGCATCGCGTGACAGACATTACGCTCAACATACTCACCATTCCCATCAGCATCTGCGCGATCAATGCACGGCGACATCCAAAGCTAGCATGAATCATGAGCATAAACACAAAACCATAGATTCAAATGACTCCTGCATAAATATTCTTTCTATTATATACTTTGCGTGTCCTGTAATTTCGAACACAGCCGACGAAGAGGGGAAAAAAAAAAAAAGAAAACCAGGGAGGTCTAGCAGTGGCGAACACGGGCTCACTTGAAACGGTACACAGGAAACGGGTTTTTCGCGCAGCTTGGAGTACTGCGCAAGAAATCCCCATCGCCAGATCTCATGAATCCCGAGACTTCAGAAACAGTTCAAGAGGTTTTTAGAAAGAGAAAATCTTCAAACACTCGAAACCGTTCTCAGATTTGTGAAATGTTGAGTTACAAAAAAATATATTGATTCAAACCTGTTCAGTTGAAATCACTCCCCAACGAATCCCCATGGCAGATTTCTCTGTGATTTTTGCGACCTTCATAAACGTTTCAGTACTTTTAGGAAGTGCAAACCTTCCTCTACACGAATACGGTCTCCTCTTCCCCACAGGTCCGCTTTTGAGGAAGTTATGGTCCTTCAAAGACACCCCACTTTGCTGAAAACTCGCGTTCCACATGGCTGGTCCTGCCCAGAATCCCTCCCCGGTACCTCGGCCTTTTAATCAGCTGATTGCTGGCTGGTT